TTCTTTTCTCCTGCTGTGTTCCATGGCACTCCTCTCCTGCCCTGTTCCTTCCCTTCTCATTCTGATTGCAGCAAGTATACTATACATTCCCATTCCCAAAAGAAAAGCAACAGAAAAAAGAGAAAGAACAACAACAAAAAGACAGATGTATGTCTTTAGAGTCTGCAGCTCTAAATCAGATTTGTTTTAAATGTCTGAATTAATTGATAAATTTTGTACTAGGGCAGTAATTTCCACTGACTGTGAAGTACAGATGTCTACCTCTGATAAGGCAGAGCAGACATCTCAACAGAATAATTCCACCCTGGATGTCCAATATTCTGCTAATAATTCCTTAACTCTTTGCTTTCTGAGGAACTCCTGGTCTCCTGGAACTCCCAATCAGGAACTCCTGATTCTCAAGTATAGTTATCCAGGCCTGCAACATGGACAAAATGTTCAGCTGGAACTTCCTCTAGATCTTGGTTGTGACTAAAAAATGTTTCTCCTTTTTTTCCTCCATATAACCTCTCAGAAAGTGCCACATCCAAGCTATCATTATATTCCATCTTTCATAGTGTCCTTTCCGAGTAAATGACATCCCATCCATTGTTCAAAATGCAGTGATAAAGATAAGTTTCTTACTCTTCCTGTTCAGCCATCTTATGTGCTCATTACAGGTCCTCCTGGGGATATATCTGTCACACCAGATGTAAGCAGCAGGTTGAAGGCCTTGAAAGTGAAGACAGCTTATTCTCACTTAACCTATCTTTCAACTATGGGATATCAGGTTCACTCTACTCAACTCTCAAACAATCAATTGTTTTCTTTTTTTCCCAATGGCTGGATAGTTAGATTATTTGAGGGGAGATTAAGTGCATATCCATGAAATTATCTTCTTCAAGGTCAGCATTAAAAATCTCCTTTCTAGCTCATGTTTGGACAGCTAGTGTACTAAAAGAATGCCCAGCACATAATCCATACTGTATGGCTGCCTCCTTACAGCTGCAAGGTTATCACATCTAACTGGACAAAATGCAGAGATACTAAGCTGTCTCTGACTGTGTTAACTCAGACAGTGGAAGCACACTTGTGACCGGTTAATTAGCTCTTCTCTTGAGCAATTAGCTCTTAGCTAGAGTAATTAACTCTTCTCTTGAGGCCTGTAGTTAGCGGTGACCTGCAGAGATCAGTCCTCAGTCCAGTCCTGTTCAATTTGTTCATCAATGACCTGGATGAAGGGACGGAGTGCTCCCTCAGCCAGGTTGCTGATGATACCAAACTGGGAGGAGTAGCTGATACCCCAGAGAGCTGCGCTGCCATTCAGACTGTCCAGGCTGGACAACTGGGCAGTGAGAAATCTCATGAAGTTCAACAAGGGCAAGTGCTTGCACGTTGGTCATGCACTTGGGGAGGAACAATCCCAGACACCAGTACAGGCTGGGGACTGACCTTCTGAAGAGCAGGTCTGTCGAGAGGAACCTGGGTGTCTTGGTGGACAACAAGTTGACCATGAGGCAGCAGTGTGCCTTCATGACCAAAGAGATCCTGGGGTGCATTAAGAAGAGCATCTCCTGCAGGTTGAGGGAGGTGCTTATTCCCCTCTATGTAGCCCTGGTGAGGTCATATCTGGAGTCCTATGTCTAGTTCTGGGCTCCCCAGGACAAGAGGGATGTGGAGCTGCTGGAGAGAGTCCAGCGCAGGGCTACGAGGATGGTCAGAGGCCTAGAACATCTGCCCTATGAGGAAAGGCTGAGAGAGCTAGGCCTGTTCAGCCTGAAGAAGCTGAAAGAAGAAACTGAAGAAGAAAACTTCTGAAACTAAAGAAGAGAACTTCTTCAGTTCTCCGCTCAGGGCAGGGAACTGATCAATATCTATAAATACCTCAAGGGAGGCAGTGAGGAGGAGGGGGCTAGCCTCTTTTCAGTGGTGGCCATAGATAGGACTAGAGGAAATGGCCAGAAACACAAAAGTTCCACAGGAACTTAGGGAAAAATTTCTTGACAGTGAGGGTGACAGAGCCCTGGAACAGGCTGCCAAGAGAGGTGGTGGAGTCTCCTTCTCTGGAGATCTTCAAAATCTACTTGCATGTAATCCTGTGCCACATGCTCTATGTGACCCTGCATGTGCAGGTGGGTTGGACTAGATTATCTCTAAAAGCTCCTTCTAACCTTAATGATTCTATGGCTCTATGAAGTGACTGAGAAGGTGAGCTAAATTAATTAGAAGGACTACATGGGTTTTATATCTCTCATGGAACCAGATGTACTCCTAAAACAGTACTGTGCCATGCAAACCTGCACCCAGGCCTTGTACAGGCCTTTCTTGTTGATATCTGTTTCAGTCTAGATGCCACAACTCCAACTCTTGTCTTTATACTCACAAATTTCATTATGAAGAAGGAAAGTCTTCCTGGCAGAATCTGAAGACTGGATACAACTGGATATGGTATCTTCCTAACAGGCTTTTACTGCCTCGTATCCTAAAAGGAGGATTCTACTATGGCATCTGTCTTATATGTTTACTGAGCACCCAATAAAACAAACAAGATAACAATTTAGCTGATTTCACCCTCTGAATAAGCAGTAGGTGAGAAAACACATGCAGTTCAAGAACAGATTTTCAAAGCAAAGTATTAAGTTTTTTGGAGATGTTTTTTGTTTCTGTTTCCTGAGATTATTATTTGGCCTGTACAAGCAGTGGAGCATTCTCTGGAAACGGAGAGAGCAACTTGGAGCAATAACCCAACATGTGCAAAACATTTTGTTCACAAAGCTCTTGAGGAAACTTTCATGACAAATAGTGAGCCAGCTATGGGTGGTCTTCAGAACATGAAGAGGAATGTATTAGAGCAGCACGGGATTGGATAACATTCCTATCAGGATTAACATTTAACATATTTAAATTTGTACTATAGGTTCAGTACATTCAGTACATTCATATGTCACATCCATCCATCCATCCATGCTGGAAGTATGGATGTAAGTGTAAGTGTAGCATATTATAAGAATGTAAACTTTGTGTTCATTTCAGATAGCCAGCACAGCAAGTTTAATGCCAGCACAGTCAATCTGCTGTCTTCTCAGACAAATTGGGAAAGCAGAAATTGCAGATATTTTCATCCAAACAACATGCTAACCAAACTTTGCCTTTACTCCACCAATTTAGTCAGGTTAAGCAGGTAAATGTAAAATATGAAATGTTCTTTGACATTACATTTTTGACATCTTTGACATTACAACAGTAGCGAGGAAAAAAGGAATGGACCATTAAGTGTTGCAAGTCATAAAACAATGCATCTCACACTGTCAGATGTGCTAATTTGTCTTTAATTTGTAATTCTTAATGTCATAGAGTTGCACAAACACCAATTTGAGCACCTGGTATACTAAACGGTCATTAAAACAAAAAAAAAATATGACAAATGCAATATGGGGTAGATTTCTGGAAGCAGTAAGAAAAAAATCTGAACATCAGAACAACAACAACAAAAATCTATTTTCTAAGACTTAAGGTTAAAGAGTTCAGACCAAAGTTATTTCACATATCTGTTTTTAATTTTTTCAACAGATGCACTTTAACTGCCCTCCCAGAATCAATATTGCTGACCTTTCAGACTGTGAGCCCTGTCTAATCAGGCAGGAAGCCTTCTAAATTATTATTTTTAGAAATCTGAACTGCTTTATGTGGAGGCTGTCTACTATGTGTGATGTCACAGATTAATGTTGTACAGTTGTACATCAAAGAGCAGCAAAATGATAATTTTACAATAAGATCTCTGTTGCACTATTTGCAACACTCTGCTCTGAAGAAAACCTGAAGTATTTGCACTGGTACTGAGCACAGATTCCAGAGTAAAAATAACTACCTCAGTCTGGAACATTTAACAAACCACATTTTCCAACTAAAATAACACTGTATGCATCTGTTAGGTTTTAACACCCGTTTTAAGGAACCATATATGAAATAAACACAAGACCAGGTAACCTAAGGACAACGTAAAATTTGTAGGCCAAAGTCTTTCAAAGCAAACAGTGTGATTTCAAAATGTGAAAAGCCTTCTTTTTTTTTTTTTTTTTTTTTTCCCCTCCCCAAATGCAGTTAATTTCAGCTTTTTAACAGAATCCCAGTAAAGCTCAAAACTGAGCAGGAGATAACTTTAGCAGGGGGCTGCTGCAGTCCTGGTGCTAATTAACAGCCTCAGTCACTTCCATGAGACCCCACTGGCTCTTGATTTATGTGACTGTGCTACAAAGCCTCTGACCCGATTCCTAAAGCCGAAGTAAAATACGGGCTGTGCAGCAAACTGCAGTCTCCCTGGAGTCACCCAGTAATGCAACATTTCAGGCAAAGTTTTTAAGATTCACGTGTTAATAACACCGTGCAGAGGAGCCGGTAATGGAGACGTGCTTGCACATATGCCCTGGTCATTAGAGCTGTCATTTGTTTGTATACAAATCTCAGATCCAAGAGCTCAGGTTAATTTTATCTGGACTTGCATGATCCTGCCAGACCCACTTTCCATAGCCGTGCTCATTGCTCAGCACTCTGCTCCAGCTGACTTACCTTCTTCACTGTATGCAGATTACTGACGGGGAGGAAGCAGCGCGTGGTGCTTGTGGAGACCTCCTTGTACCTCCCTCGCTGGGTTTTAGTCTGTTTGCTTGGTGAAATCCCATTCACAAGCGCGGAAAGGAAGCCGCCGGTCATGAGGGGAGTCAGGGTCTGGCAAAACAGGCAGACGGCCACCACTAAGGCCACAACGAAGGGCCGAGGGCGGCAAAGCCGGCGGCACCTGGGGGCCTGCCCACAAACCATGGCCTCACCGCCGTCCTCACTTCATCCTTTGCCACATTGCAGATGCAGTCAAGGCAAACACTTTTGGCCAGGATAAAAGAAAAAAGAAACAGAAAAAAAAAAAAAAGGCAAAGGCACGTGTTCCCCCAAACTAGTTAGTCTCTATTTCTACTTGTGAATTCTTTCATGGTGCCTGGCTAGAAGTCCCAGCTTCCAAGGGAGCGGAGGTCTGTACAGAGCCCTCCTACGAGGGATACAGGAACAACCTGCGAAAAAACAAAAGTGAGCAACAGTAAACAGCACGGTGTCATGGGGGGGTTGTAAAAGGCCATGCTGGGCTCTCCTGTGCTGCTTTCTTTGTGGAACAGCCCTGCAGACAAGCAGGTGAGGAGCAGAGCTCTTCACCCTCAGCCTTGCACAGGGGACTGCTCAGTCAGCCGACAGTATCCAAGAAAGCAAAAAGTTAAAGCTCAGCATGTCCTGTCCACAGCTGAAGCGAATAAGAAAGTGTACCAACTTTGTGAGCCAATCGCTTGCTGTTTTTTCTGTCTCGCATTCTCAATTCCCACTTTGTTTTTACAGTTTCCTTCATTCCAGTCCTTTTAAATTGCCTCTTTCCTGTCAGCATGCACAGCTCGCTCTCTTTAAACTAGCATTTATCTGAAAACTGACAGGCTATGATTTCCCTTTGCATTTGTTTTTGTCCGGATTGCGAGCTCAAAGTCATGTTTACTTACTCAGTTCTTATCCTGTTAGAAGTTTTCCATTCTCCTCTAATGGGCTGCTGATTAAAACCACTTGGAAGAGCCCTGGCTTGTGCTCCCAGCTCGTCTCACGCGCTCCAAAGGCAGGCACACACACACACAGAGCATCTGAAGCCAGTTGGACCACAGATTTCATATAAATAAAGGCTGGGCTGCTTGGAGGTGGGGCTAAGTCAGCGCCGCGCTGAGCAGGCACCATGCTTGGAGGCACCGTTCTAGGTCCGGATGGGGAGCCAGGGGTGTCCCCTGCACACCCGGCATGCCTCGAGGCCACCATCACAGCAGTTTTTAGAAATCTGCTGTTGCAGCAGTAAATCTCACCAGAACAGACAGGTCTGTTAGGTCTGCAAAGTTCTTGCAGACAGTAGGAATCTGAGCACTACCTGCAGTATTTTAATCTGAATTAATAAAAACGTTGTAAAAGGGGGGAGGTTTACATGAACGTAACTATCTCTGACAGAGCTGTCAGTAATTTTCCACAGTATATATAGTATTCCGTGGCAGTGTATAAATAAAACTTCCTATTAATGTTAGAGAGAGAAAGAAAGGAAGGCAGACACAAATAGTCCAATGAAAACACTTGGTATCTAAGTCACAGAAGATCTTAGTTACTACTTCCCCCTGCTGACACAGGACAGGACAGGGACGGAACAGATGGGAGCAATTGCGAAACTCAGGGTTATCTTATAGACCTAATCCTCTCATATAATTCCTCTTGCTAAAATTATCTGTATCCAATTCATCAAATTTATCTTTTTTTTTTTTTTTTTGCATTCTTAGCTATTTTTGAAAAAGAGTTCTTCCAACACCACTTACACTTGAGACAAGAGTGCTGGCCAGTTATGATAATCTTGGGCAGTTCTACACAATACGACAGTGGCAGCCCTAGCAAGCTAGATTCTTACATACAGCAGTGAGGACAAGAGCATGTAGTTGTTTTTGTTGGTGTTTATTCCACTTTCAACTCCTTTTTTTAATTATTTTTTATTTTCCGAGCTTATACCATCAGTTGCACCATCAAGTGCACCATCAAGCTGTCCAAGTGATCCAACAATCAGAGAACCTCAGCTGTCACTTACACTACATTTTAGTTCTCTGGGTGCTACTATCAAAATTGTGCCTGGAGTTGTCTGAATTTGACTTCTAAGGCCAGGAAAGGATTTCACAATTTGTTACTACTCTCCAGTGATGAATGCTTTCCATCCACACAGAAACTGCCATGTGTGTCTCCAGAGACAAGCTGCTCCTGCTCCCTCCTTCCCAGCACACCAGCTCACATCCTCAGGCTCTGCTCCAGGCAGCCTCTGCTGCCAAGCATCTGGCAAGCCACCCAATCTGGCTAGCGGACCATGGAAAACCACGGGCTCCCTGCAGCTCCCTTTGGGGTAGATTATGCCACGTAATGGAGAGCAGAACCCAGGGGGCTGATACATTAAAGCAGTAGTGAAGGGACACTGCAGCCAATCTGGGAGCCACAGTCACCCTGTCGGCAAAGGAGAAGAGCATGGAGAGGAGAGTTGTTCTGCTGTTTTAAAAGATTGTCCTGTGGTTTTCAGCGTGCTTTGATTTCTGGGGCCATAGCCACTAGCATTTGCAGGGCTGTTAACTTCTCCCAAATTTTTACTGAGACTGTTTTAGCCAGAGCTTTCCATGGTGTTACTGGAGGCCTTGATCAAAGTGGAGGCCACTTTATAGGTTTTGGATTAAGGGTCTCCTCATACTGTGGAGATCATAGACCCTTCCTACAGCCCCACCTTAGATCAAAGTAATTCTGTATCACCTCTACCTCACTCCCTTAGTTACCTTTAGCACTGCAAATAGCTGTGCACTCTCTCCTGCTCTCCATCATTTTATTCTCCAGCTTGTAAGTGGGAGCTTTAACTTTACATTTTCCCCATATGTCTCATCCTTCCTACAGTCCCAAGTTCCCTCACAGGCCTAGAGTTTTTAGGACAAGCTGATGTCTTTTACTCCTTTACTGTCCCAAGCATGATACTCCAAAACTAAACAGGGGAGGAGGATCTGCAGAAGCCAAATGATCACCCTACCTCCTGGATAGGCTGAGGGTCAGCTTTCTGTTTGTGTGCTTTTCCTAGATGTTTCAAAGAGTGAAGTAGCTTTTTCTCCCTGTCTGTTTTGTGGTTCATTTTCCTTACAATAGCATGTAATGCACGTTTTTTTAAATTGTAAATAGGTTTATCAATCACAGCTAGAAGGCAACAAACATGACTTCTGTCATATTTTTAATGAGGTTTCCAACCTCTTATCTCTGGATTTCAATGTCTACTAGATTACTTGGTTGCATTCTGACCCTTCAGACATTAAGGCAGGACTATCCCACATGAAGACTAACTCCCCTGACATTAACCAGTCAGTTAGGTAAAGGATAGAACTTCTCATAAGAAAGTACTTCATTTTTCAAAAACTTTAGAAGACAAATTCCTGTAAGACCAGGAATGTCTGGGGGCTATTTTCTATGTATGCTCACAAGTATATGCACATATTTCAAAATTCTTAGCAGAAAGCTACAACTCTCCTCTGTACAACATATGGCATAAATTTGGAATTTGTTTTCTATTTGGGATTCCTGGACCTCTTCCTTCCTGTAACTGCTCCCACTGCATGGATTCAGGGCTTGCTTACCTTGCCCTGTTCCTTCTGCTTTTGCTCACTCAGGACTTCTTGCCCGGATGCTGCCTACAGCAGCTGGCCTCTGTCCTACTCTGCTCAGGTCCTGTGGGAATCGCTCCATCAAAAACAACCAGCCAGGACTCTCAACAAGTGATCTCTGATGCCTGTGACCGGAGTCCCAGATACATCTGCAACATCTGGAATAGACTGTAAGTAAGTGTTCAAATATACTGTGACACTGACAAAGGAGAGGAAAATCATGAGACTTGGCAAAATTTACAGGAGACTGGTATTTGACAGGATTTAGCCTATATGCCACATAGGTATGTAATGTATATCATTACCATCGCTGAGGCTTTAAGCAACTTGTCTAATATTCCCAGAGTTTCTGCTCTACTCAGATCATTGTGTTTGGTCTGTGTGAAAGCTAGGGACCAATGAAGAGTGATTTTGGATGGAATAGGTAGTGAACTGGACAGATCACCACCAGGAACTATCCAGAAGAAAAATACTAGGGACAGAAAGTTAGCAGAATAGCTAGCTGAATATTTTCATTATGTGTAAGCTTAACATTACTCACAGACTTAACATGAATCATTCTGCAACTCTGAATAAAGTTGTCTATGTATAAGTGCATGTAAGATCAGGACTTGGTATAATAAGAAACATTTTGCATCAATAATTTCTCTATACAGAGACTGCCAAGGAGAAAATAAGTCTAAAAACCTATTGAGAGTTATTCTTTCTAGAGCAAGATTCAAATTTCAAAGTGTGGACTCTTAACAACCACTTCAGTGATAAATGAGCTCATATGAAAAATAAGCTCAAACATATCATTTCTAAAAGTACTGTCCATCAAGTCCTTGCGATTATGTTTATCACCTAGATGGTACAGACCTATATGCAATTTTCATTGTCTACAGGCAACTTTCATTTCTTTTTATTTTCTAGCATCCCAAAAACCATAGGACCATAAATTCCCACTGACTTCAAATAAACTCCCAAGGGCCATAAATTCCCACTGACTTCAAATACAGGATGAACAATAGGCATTAATAGAACTGTGCATATTCAAGTAAAACATCTAGCAAACTGTGCTGGAGAAAGCCTGTCAAGCCACACCCTCCATGATTTTTCATTTCATCCTGAATTCAATCCAGATTACAATTAGATTTGCATGTGTCGTCAATCCCATGTGTGGTCCCATTGTGAGCAGTGAATGGGGGAGACTGGTACAGAGTAACAGAGTGAAGAAAAGAGGAGTAATACTTTTCATTACTCTTCTGCACATTGGAAGATTCAGTACAACTACTGAAATTTAAATTAATCCCAGGATTGGTAAAAAAGAGACTTTATCCTCCTTTCCTATGCATAGAGCTCTGTTGGCCTCAATAACTTTGTAATTTTGTTTTAAAAAATACTCCAGAGAAAAAGGATTGATGCCTTAATCCCACTTTGGCTCTATATCTCTTCTTGGCTCACAGCGAAGGTAAGCTAGCAGAGAAGACTGAAAATCCTGAAAATAGTTGATGCTCATGGAAGAGCAGTTCTAGGGAAAACTCCCCTTTCTGTTTTACTTTTTATTATTGTTTATTTAACCTTTTGTTTCTATGTAAGTGAAAGATCAAAGATCATTAGATCACACATTAAGAGTTGTGACATTGTTAGATGTTGTGCCCCAAGGAAGATGCCCTTAGACCTTAGATTTGCCTTAGTTCCACAGGCAAATCAATCAGTTTGGTAATTGTCTGCAGCTAAAAAGGGAAGGCCTTGCTTGTCCTTTAATTTCTCCTCCAAATTCCTCCTGCTTGTCTCATTTCCCTTCCTTGCTACACCCACTCCTCTGCCCTTGCTTGATAGATCCTAACTGTGCACCTGGGTTCTACCAGGCTAGTGAGTTGAACCAGCTATTGGAGAAGTTCAGTGGGCACCAGTGCTGGTACAAGCTAAACAGCAGGAGAACATAAGTGAGAGAGCATGGAAAACCAGTGGATTGGACAGGACTTCATATTTTAGCCAGCAGAAAGTTTGATGTTCAGATCACCAGCTCTGAATCGGATTGTGCTAAATCTCCCTCTCCCCTCAGCTTCCTGAAAGTTTTGAGTCTGGCATACTGAGTTGTTTGTTCAGAGGGACATCTTTGTATCCCAGCCATGTTCTTGACCACTATCTTTTGGCAGACTGAGGACAAGGAAACACAAATACCATTTTTAATAGATGTTTGCCTGACATGAGAACTAGGAAAAGCAGCTGAAGCCCAAAGTCTTACAGAAGGCAAATTTGTATGTCAGGAGGAAGAAAAAAATTGGATAACTCCTTGGTCCTTCCTCTTTACATCTGACCAGAAAGTCCTATTCTATATAATCTCTTTCCAGTCCATTTTACACA